TCTAAGACTTGAGTTCAAATGCAGCCTTAGATACTTCCTAGCTGTGTGACCCTGGGCAAGGCACTTCACCCTGCTCGCCTCAGTTTCCTCATCTGTTAAATGAGCTAGAGAAGGAAATGGCGAACTGCTCCAGGACCTGCCAGTCCAGAGTCGCACACAGCTGGAACAACTAAGCAGCAACAGTTAATGGTTACTCTACTGTGTTACCTCTCCCGCAGCTCGTTGCCCTTTTGAGAGGACATCGCTGAACCAAAGTGTGAATCTCCGCTGACGGAATCAGATGCTTGTAAGGGAGAAGGTGCTTCCTAAAAGCCCTAAAACATCCCTCCCCGGCAGGCACACTGAGTGGATGATATTATTGGAATTGTGGGAATTTTCCTACGTCCAGAGAAAAAGCTGTTCATTTTCTTTCTTTAGTTTCTCTTAAATCTCTTCAGAATAATGAATTACACTAGAATAACCGGAACATAGTTATTCCGCCCTCATCTGATATAGTCCTAGTAAGGTCTCCCAATTGTCATTGATTTTTTAAATTGTGTTTGGGGTAGGGGGTTGTATGTATCTATTCAGATCTACCATATGTTATCTGAATATCACTAGAAGGTTGTCTTATAGGCCATACATTTGTTTGGTCTTGGCAGAACATAACATAGACAAGAGATGAAGTGGCCTTCCAACCTGGGCAGGGCCTTTCTGATTGTGCAGGGATACTGGGGACAGGGGCGAAGTAAGATGAGGCAGTGGCCAGATCCTCTGCAAACATTCTCTTGGCTAAGAGCATTTGCAGGGGACTACCTTAGTCCATTATCCAAGAAGTTGGAAGAAACTGGAAAAAAAACTTGGACCAAGTAAACCACATCCCTATTGAAAGTCTTGTTATAAATGAAGCCGTAAAACAAAGAAGATGCAGCTAGATGGAAGTCTGGACTAAAGGCTTTCAGGAGGGTAAAGAAAGGAGTCAGCTAAATTGGTTTCATCTGGAGAACCCAAAGACAACAGGAATATGTCTTTTTAAAAATGTATTTTATTTTTTCCAATTACATGTAAAGATAATTTTTAGCATTCATTTAAAAAAATTTTTTGAGTTGCAAATTTTTCTCCTTCCCTTCCCTCCCCCCTTCCTAAAATGGCAAACATTTGATATAGATTACATGTGTGCAATCATGTAAAAAGTATTTCCGTATTAGTCATGTTGTGAAAGAAGAAACAGAACAAAAGGAAAAAACCACACACATACACACACAAATAAAGAAAATGAAAATCGTCTGCTTCGATCTGCACTTGGACTCCATTGGTTCTTTCTCTGGATGTGGACAGCGTTTTCCATCATGAGTCCTTGGCTGAGAAAAGCTGTCATTCACAGTTGATGGTCACACAATGTTGTTATGTTACTACGTTCTCTGCTTTTGCTCACTTCACTCAGCATCAGTTCATATAAGTCTCTCCAGGTTTTTCCAAACTCCGCTTGCTCATCATTTCTTAAAGCACAATAGGATTCCATTACATTCATGTACCACAACAAGATGAAATATCTCGTGAGCAATTTGATCCAGCCTTGCCGTACTCGCTGACATCCACGAAGACAGTTACACATTATTCATCTCAAATCCTTTTCAGATGGTGAAGAAACTTCTCCAAACTACACAGGACACTCCAACCTGAGTCTTGACTTGTGGCTACTGTGTCCTAGGTCGTGGGAGAAGACGCTGACCAGATGGGTTGTATTTCCCAGTGTGGCGAGGGTGGAGACTAGCTTCACTTCACCGGACTTCTTTGTCATGTGGGCCACCCCTTCTACTGCAGGTGGGAATCACTCAGAAGGGCTGTCAATGTAGTGGAAGGCCAGGCAAGAATAATGAAGGGCTTTGGGTTTTCTTTTAAAGAAAACATGGGTTAGAACTCAGAAATAACAAGACCAAAGACTCCCAGGTTACCCAGGAGCATCTGTCTGTGTGTCGTGATGACTTCCTCAGAGAAGAGAATTGAACTGATGAATGAATCAAGCCTTTATGAAGCACATACTTTGTAGCAAGCAACATATTAGAAAACCATCTCGCTTTTGAAATTGGAAGATGGAAGGTGTGATTGGCACTGAACAAGATCTGGCTGCAAGGAAGGAAGGAGGGAAGGAAGTTATCTAAAGAGATTGATTCGTGTATACTGAGAACACATCAACCAGTTTGGGTTTTAAAAATGACATTTACCAAAGATGGATGATATTAGGCAGATAGAACTCAAGTGGAGTCGGGGCAGGCAGGGCAAGTCCTCTATGAACACAGAAGCATTGAGGGCTTCTTGCTAACGCTCAGAATGAACCAAGGATGATGAAAACTAAAGATGGAGGGGGAGTATTTTAATGACTTTGGGGAAGAAAGGATAACTAAAGAAATGGTAGAACTGCTGTTCAGGGTGGATGAAATGATGACTGCAGATAAGAAAAGGTGGAGCTGATTAATTCTTAGTATAACCAAGATCAGTAAGTACATAATAAGAAAATTACCTATTTGCCCTGATGCAGTCAAGTTCCCTGGCCCCAGTGAACAACAGCCACGGGTGCTGAAAGAGCTTGGAGTCTCAATGGCTGAATAGCTGCTGGGAAAAGACAATGTCATGTTGCCCTGGTTTGGGTTTTCAAGAGAAGAGAGTCAAGGATGCAAGTTACAGGCTAGTGAGCTTGACTCAGAATTTTGGCAAAATTGAAGGAATGGCAAAAGTACAAGAAGCTGTGGTGGAGGAAAACACAAAATTAACCATAACCGTGAATTGGATAAACTCCTCCATAAAATAGAGAAGAGCAGCTTAGAAAGCAAAATTGATCTGTAACCTGTAAGGAATCAAGGACTTAGATAAGGCAGCAGGAAAAATGGTCATGGTCAAAAGAGAGAAACAGAGGGGCAGCTAGGTGGCACAGTGGATAGAACACCGGCCCTGAAGTCAGGAGGACCTGAGTTCAAATCTGACCTCACACCAAACATTTGATACTTACTAGCTGTGTGACCCTGGGCAAGTCACTTAACCCCAATTGCCTAAAAATAAGAAAAATAGAGAGAAACAGGCAAGGTATATTCTGCTTAAAGGTTGTTATTGTTGTTGTTCAGTCCTTTAAGTCACTTCCTACTCTTTGTGACCCCATTTGGGTTTTTCTTGGCAAAGACATGGGAGTGGTTTGCCATTTCCTTCTCCAGCTCATTTCACAACTGAGGAAACTGAGGCAAACAGAGTGAAGTAACTTGCTCAGGGTCACTCAGCTAGTTAAATCTGAGGCCAGGATTGAACTCAGGAAAATGAGTCTTCCTCATTCCAGGCCCGGCACTCTAAGCACTGTGCCACCTAGCTGCCCCTGCACATGATTTTTGGATTGGATTGTACAGGTATGACAGATGAAGAATGTGTTTGACCCAGACATGAATAGGAGAAGGCACTGAGGCTGGATGAATTGGAGAAATGTGTGTTAAGTGACCACAAGCTGCTCACTGACCCTGGAGCCCATCTTGGATACCAATGTTCTCCCAGGATAACTCTTAGGCTTTGAGGCAGAGGAAACCACAATCTCAGGTCTTAGAATCATCAGTGCAGCGCTGGAGGGGACCTCAGGAGTTCATAGAGTCCAGGCCCCTCACATTATAGTCCAGGAAACTGAGGCCCAGGGAGGTAGATTGTGCAGGTGGTAGTCATTAGAGATGGGATTTGACCCCAGGTCTTCTGATTCAGAACCAAAGATCTTTCTGCTTTCCTACACTGACTTACAGGAAGAGGAACCTGATAGGGAGAGGAAAGATGCACATTTGAGATAAGCAAGCCCAGCTGTTTTCCACAGAATTGGAATTAACTAGAGAACCAGTCAGTATTTCCATGCTTTTTAAGACCCCAAGAGAGCACAGGAGGTGTCATAATCACTTCTGCCTATGAGCTTGCTAGTTCATACCTGAAGTCATGCCGCAGGACAGTGACCAAATGAAAAAAGGGCGTCTGCCAGATTTGTTTTCTTCTTACGCTAGTGAGACTCATAATGGCGAAGGACTATACTCAGATATTTACATTTCTGAAATCTCATTTGACTGAATTCATGGTCTTCACTAAACTGGTGCAGGATCAGTCTTCCACAAATGCATTGCCCTTCTGTAAAGTAGACTATACAAACTCCTCTGAAATAAGGTTGAAATTGCTTTTCTAAAAAAGGTACAAGGCAATGTTAGCATCATTGAGTTTTTCTGTTGAACATCTTACAACCATGCAAAGTTTGTGTCAGAATACCAAGGCAGAGTTCAGCTTTGTACCAGCATAACTTGCTCTCCTAACATGCGGACAGCCTTTTGGAGAATCTTTTATGGACTGAAGAGTAGTCAGTAGCATATCATAGTTGGGAAATTTGGCTCTTTAGAAAGCCCCTGAACTGGGGAAACCGAAGTTTCTGCTTGAAGAGAAAGAGCTCAACCAAATTATGGAGAGAATTGTCAACTGCTTTACTTAATGTGTAGAACATAGATGCAACCCAAATGCATATTTGGAAATGATCATTTAAAAAATTGGAGTCATTAAAGATTGCACCAAAGACCTTGATTATTGTTTTAAAGTAGACCTATGATTTCATTGGATGCAAGGTGCTACCTGCTTTGCAATTTATAATCTTAGAGAATTTCCTGGGGCCCTGGGAGATTGAATTGACCAGGGCTATACTGTATGTGTTAGAGGTGGGATCAGATGGAGGCCTTCCTGACTCAGAGCCAGCTGTCTAGTCTTTCCTCTCTCTTCTGTCTCTGTCTTTGTCCCATGTTCTTTTTTTTATTACTATACATCCCAGATAATGTCCTTTTTCAGTAAAGATCATTTAATTTTTACTCCACTATTCTTCATGGTTCATACGGTCCTAATTAAAGTGTAGCTATTTTTAATGTTTTATATGGCCCTTATTAAAATTATCTAAGGAATACAGAAGAATCTCTTTCTATGTTTTATTGATTTTTTTACTAGAACTAACTTTTTTATTCTACTGTTTGAAGCGAGCTGATGACATCACAAATTTAGTGTCAGATACTACGCTGCTTGTACACTTTTTTGGAAAGAAAGGCAAAGCTGAGCTCAACTTTGAAGACTTTTACAGGTAAGATTTAATTTACACTTGGAATGATAAATGTAGATGTTAAGTGCTTAATTAGCGCTTAAAGGGACCTTAGTGATTTTGGAGCACCTTTTCCTCCTTTTATAGGTAAGGAAAATGGCAACAGAACCAGGCCTAAAGGCTGAGTCCACGGTTCCATAGAACACATCTGGAAAATGAATGAAACTGCTTTAAAGAGGGGGGGCAAGGTCATGAAAGTGCTTACAAAGCTTTTGTCTTAAAGGTGTCGACAAGGCCAGTGCTTCCCTTTTGTCATTAGCAGACATCTTACCGCCTGATTTTTATTTAAATCAATACAGCTGACAACCACAGATGGTAACCACTGGCATAAGACCTCTGCCTTTTTGATATTTGAATAACAATAGTCCTAATGTTACACAATGATGGTGAGTCCTTTGTTTTTGCCATCACCTTTATAATATCCTGTCCAGGAATGGAAAGAAATTCATACCTAAGGTACAACATGCTCTAAATTGCCAAAGCTTCTGCGTCTCTGGGGACTGCCCCATGTCTGCTAATAAGGCCTTGATGGGGTCATCATTTTGATTTTGAGGCCTGTGAAACAACACTCCCCAAAGACCCGAATGGATGCCTGATCTCACCAGATCACAGATCACAGTCCATCAGGCCTGCCCATCCTAGAGCTCTATGTACACAACCAGAGAGCCACTGATTTCCTGGACGTTTTGCTCACCTTCTCCTGGGCACCAGTGGAGCCCCACGGATGCCCACCCATCATCCCTCAGTCTTACCGTGTGACCTCCCCCCATCTTCCTTGCCTGCCACACAGCTTCTGGATGACAGCATTATTGCCCTTCTTCTGCACCCTCATTGCTCACACCCACCACACACCTCTCCAGTGCCCATTGTAGACCCACCTTTAATTCTTTGGATATAGTTATACTCTGTGTCTTGCTTCCATACAGCAACTCTGTGATGATGCTATTGTTGAAAAGATGAACCTTCACTTTGACGGGAAATAGAGTCGGTAAAGGAGTTTTGCCTGCTGTTCTCCAGTTTATCTGCAGCCCACCCCATTTTCCAAGAGTACCATCTATGCTAGTAGGCCCTGGAGGGTCTATCCAACCTGCACGCTGAAATCTGACATCTACTTGGTACATCCTGTGAAGATGGTGGGTTCTGCTCCTTTGAGTGATGACAGAACCCTCCCCTCCAGGAGACCTTCCTAAACAGGAGCACGTCATCCACAGAGAAACAACTTTGCCCAGCATCCATCCCCTGCTTGATGCCTTAGTGGATGGGTATTGTCAGAGGACCACTGAACAGGGCTGTTTCTGTAGTTCTGTCTTCCAAGGAATCTGGAATGATTTTGATGTATGCATGAGAGACACTTTGTTGTAAAATAGCTTCTGAAGTGGTATTTTTTTCTGCTTCATCAGATGTTTGTTCATAACCAACAAACAGTAAGCACAAGGGGATTTTGCATCTTCAGCATTTTTCAGTTAATTGTGAAGTGACAAAGACGTTGTCCATCATTGAATATCACACTGACAAATACTGAAGTAGAATACATCTGCTTGTGGCTTCTGTGGAGCTGGGGAAGGGGATGAGCAAGATGAAATGGTGGAAGGAAATCGTGGGGGTGATTTGGAGGTTTCAGGCTAGTGAAGTAGATTAGAGGTTGGATCTGGAGAGGGAGGGAGGAGGACAAACTATGAAGCAGAATGTAACCGGCCATTCAGTGTTGTAGGATAACCACCCTTAAGTAGCTTTGAGCAGCAAGGCTGAGTATCTCAGCTGTCATGAACAACAGAGGAACCTTCTCAAGGACTTGCATCACATGCAATATTTGTGTTTCTGCTCCAGTTGGATGACGGTTGTCTGTGCTCCAGTCTGCCTCTCCAGACTCAGATCCTTAAGGAAGATAAAGGGCTCCTGAAATCACAGGAGCAAGGGTTCCATGAAAGAGTCTTCTGAAGAGAAGAAGAGGGTTTGTTACCAGAGGAGAATAGGAAGGAAAAGGACAGTTGTACAATTAGAGCTGAAAAAAGAGATTGGAGGCTCTTGCTGAAGAAGAGAGAGTTGAATTGCTAAGGAGGAAGAAGCTACTTGTCCTTGCAAGAATGGTATAGGGAGGGGCAGAGGAAGGAGGAGCCAATGAGGAGAAGCTGGTGATTTCCTGCTCAGAAGTGCTGAAGCAGCAGGCTCTCTGCCCACCCACCCACCACAGCAGAGAAGCCTCTTGTCTTCCTGTGTACCAGACTTAGCCAAGAGGCTCTCAATACCCGTCTGAGTGCATGAGCATTACCCACTCATAGTGGTTCCCACAAAATGGCGCAAGTGGCACTTTCAGAAGGAGTCTGAAAGATATCATCAACAATTACATCAAGTCACAGGCAGAAAATTGAAGGTCACGAGGGTGACGGTGCTTTATGACTTCCTAGCCTTTGATAGTTATTGATTTAAAAGATTGCTTTTTTACTATTCCATTACAAAAAGCTTGTTCTTTACTGACTACACCCGGTCCCCATATATCTTTCTCTCTCATACTCACAGGAAAATAAACACTGTCAGGGACGCAGGCGCCTGCGACACAAGGGAGCAGATTATATTATTCTCAGTGTTACCAATTCATTAAAGACAAGGAATGCAGAAGAGAAAAATTAATTTCACACGGTAACAGCTGGTTAAGAAAGCAGTGGTGGAGAACTGGATTTGGATTTCTAGACCACGGCTAACATGTTGTTCACTTGATGACAAAGAAACTATGATGTCAGCAAAATTGTTATATATAAAATAAATTCAAGGAAATCATCAGCGTTGCTGTATGTTGCCAACAAAATCCATCAGGAAAAGACAGAAAAAGAAAATCCATTTAAACTACTATAGGATGTATAAAACACTTGGGAATCTATCTTCCATGACACACAAAGGAACCATACAAATACAACTATTAGATACTATTAATAGAAATAGAGGCCAAAATAATTGGAAAAATGTTAATTGCTCATGGATAGTCAGTCAGCAAACATTTATCAAGAAGCTGCTGTGTGCCAGGGACTAGGGATACTAAGGAGACAAAAGACTGCCTGCTCTCAAGCTCTCTGGAAGTTTGATAAGGGAGACAACATGAAACCACTCTGTACAGACAAGCCGTAGACAGGATAAATCGGAGATAACAAAGGGAAGGCAGCAGCATGAAGCAGATTGGGAAAGTCTCATGGGAGCCACAGGCAGAGATGAGGAGGGAGAGAATTCCAGGCGTGGGGGTCAGCCAGGAAAGTACCTGGACTGGGAGATGGAACGTCGTGTGGTCAGAACAGCTAGGAGGCCAGCATCACCAGACGGCAGATCATGGGGGGTAAGATGTAAGAAGACTGGAAATGGGGGCAAGGAAATGGGGGAGAGGCCTTGGAACACCAAACAGAGCATTTTGTGTTTGATCCTGGAGGCAGTAGGGAGCCACTGGAGGTTATTGAGTGGTTGGGGGTGTGGGGGACCTAGTCTGACCTGCCCTTTAGGACGATCACTTCGGTGGCTGAATGGAGGAGGCAGGCAGCCAAACCTACCAACAGATTCCTGCAATAATCCAGGTATGAGGGGAGAGGCAAGAAGTGGGAATATCCAATTGTTTGGACACTTTGGGAGGGAAATAATGAGTTCAGCTTTGAGTTCATTGAGTTTCAGATGTCTGTTGGATGTTCTGGTTGAAATATTCAGTAGGCAAGCTTCCACTTCTGGGAGCCAAGATGGCAGAGTAAGAAATAAGTTGCTCTCACCCTCCCTCATTGACCTCTGAAAACACAGAAAATATCAACCCAGAAAAGACCCTGAGCCAACAACAGTCTTGTAGCCCAGGAAGCTTGAGGGATTAATGGGTAAGGCCCCTCTCACTCTGGAGGATGGGGAGCAGTACAGGACTGGAGGTGTCCCAGCAAGCCAGCAGCAAGCCCCACCTCAGCATACCAGGGGAAGATCCTGAGACCCAGGTTGTGGAGCAGGCAAATGCTGACACCAGGACCCCCTGAGAGCTTCAACACAGGCAGGGGAACCAGTAGACACCAGCTCAGAAAACCACCACAGGCAAAGGTGGCCCCCAGCAGCAAAATCACCCCATGCCTCAACACAGCTCTGGGAAGCGCAGCTCCAGAAGGCAAAGCTCCAGGCTGACAGACATCCACCAACAGCAAAACATCCCTGTGCAAGGCCCCAGGGGAGCAGGAAAAGAAACTTGGGTAAGTGCCCCCTTCACTCCAGCAGAACTCAACATTCTTTTCAAAGTCAGGAGATAGGCAAACACCATGAAAAACAGTAGAAATGGAAAATTACCATAGCCTCTTATTTTGGGGAAAGGGAAGATCAAGGCACAAATTCTGAAGAGGACAACACTGTCAATATACCCACATCCAAAACCTCAAAGGGAAATATGGTCTTAAGCCCAAAAAGCCTTCTTGGAAGAGCTCAAGAAGGATTTTAAAAGTCAAAAAAGGAGGTAGAAGAAAAATTGGGAAAAGAAATGAGAGATATACAAGAGAGAATCAATAGCTTAGAAAAGGAAGGACAAAAATGAACTGTAGAAAACAAGTCCTTAAAAAGTAGAATTGGCCAAATGGAAAAGGAGACACAAAAATTCACTGAAGAGAACTCCTTAAAAAGTAAAATGAGCCAAGTGGAAAAGGTGGTACAAAATCTAAAAGAAGAAAAGAACTCCTTAAAAATTAGAATGGGTCAAGTAGAAGCTAATGACTCTATGAGAGAACAAGAATCAGTCAAACAGAAACAAAAGAAGAAAAAAAAATAGAAGAAAACATAAAATACTTCATTGGCAAAACAACTGACCTGGAAAATAGATCCAGGAGAGACAATTTAAAAACTATTGGTCTACCTGAAAACCATGATGAAAAAAAAGAGCCTGGACAACATCCTTCAGGAAATCATCAAAGAAAACTGCCCTGAGGCCCTAGAACCAGAGACTAAATTAGTCATCAAAAGAATCCACTGATCCCAAATTGAAAAACACCAAGGAATGTTGTAGCCAAATTCCAAAATTACCAGTTCAAAGAGAAAATACTGCAAGCAGCCAGAAAAAACAATTTAAATATAGTGAACTACAGTCAGGATTAAGCAGGACCTTGCAGCTTCTGCATTAAAGGATCAGAGGGTGTGGAATACAATATTCTGTAAGGCAAAAGAGCTTGGATTACAACCAAGGATCAACTACTCAGAGAAACCGAACATAATCTTTCAGGGGAGGAGGTGCCTATTCAACCAAATAGGGGACTTCCAAGCCTTCCTGATGGAAAGACCAGAGCTCAACAGAAAATTTGACCTTCAAATACAAGACTCAAGAGAGGCATAAAAAAGTAAACAGGAAGAAAAAAATAACATAGTATTAATAAGGACAAACTGTTTATATCCCTACAAGGGAAGATGACATTTGTATTTCTTGAGAGCTGTAATGTTATTATGACATTTAAAAGGGGGTATACTTAGACAGAGGTCATGGGTATAAGTTGACTTAATGTGATGGTAAAAAACTAAGTAAGTGAAGAAAAGGGATTGTACTGGGAGAAGAGGAAAGGGGGAGGCAGACAAGGATAAATTACATCACGTAAAAAGGTACAAAAACCTAATACGTAGAGGGAAAGAATGGAGGGAGATGAGCATTGTTTGAACCTTACTCTCATGAGATGTGGTTCAAAGAGGGGATAACATAATCAGTTAGATATAGAAATCTAGCTTATCCTATAGGAAGTAGGAGGGGAAAGAGAAAAGAAAAGGGAGGGGCGAATACAAGGGAGGGAAGAAGTAGAAAGGGTAAAGGAGAAAAAAAGGGAGGGAACTAATAGAAGGGAGGGTGGACTGAGGGAGGTAGTGGTCAAAAGCAAAACTCTAGTGAGGAGGGAAAGGGAGAAAGGAGAGAGAGAAAAACATAAACAGGGGGTGGGGAATAGGATGGAGAGAAAGATACAAATAGTAATCATAACTATGAATGTGAATGGGATGAATTCTCCCATAAAACAGAAATGAATAGCAGAGTGGATTAGGAACCATAATCCTACAATATGTAAGAACCTAAGACAACTCCGAAAGACTCATGATGGAAATTGCTCTTGGTGCAGCTAAGTGGCACAGTGGATAGAGCACTGGCCCTGAAGTCAGGAGGAACTGCGTTCAAATCTGGCCTCTGACCAAACACTTGGCACTTACTAGCTGTTTGACCCTGGGCAACTCACATAACCCCAATTGCCTAAAAATTTAGAAAGAAAAAGAAATTGCTATCCACATCCAGAGAAAGAACGATGGAGTCTGAATGCAGGATGAAGCACACTATTTGCTCTCCTTTTCCTTTGTTGTTTTGTTTTATTGCTTCATTCTTGTGGTTCCTCCCATTAATTCTGATTGTTCTTTACATCATGACTAATGGGAAGATATGTTTAATATGAATGTATAAGTAGAGCCTATATCAGATTGCACATCGCCTTCGGGGGGGGTGAGAAAGGAAGAAAATTTAAAACTCAAAATCTTATGGAAGTGAATGCTGAAAACTAAAACTAAATCATATAATATATATATGAAAGAAATGTTCAATAGGCTATTAGAAATGTGAGTCTAAAGGTCAGCAGAGAGGTTAGGGCTGGTTAAGTAGATTTGAACATCATTAGCATAAAGATGATAATGAATCTGTGGGAGCTGAAGAGATCACCAAGTGAAATAATATCAAGGGAGAAGAGAAGAGAACCCAAGACAAGAGCCCTGAGAACTCTGATTAGTGGCCATGACCTAGATAAAGATCCAACAAAGGAGACAGAGGAGGAGCGGACAGAGAGGTAGGAAGAGAACCAGGGGAGGGGGGAGGAGTGCCAGGAAAACCTACAGAGAAGAGAGGAGCAAGGAGAGGGTGACTGACAGTGTCAAAGGCTGCAAGGAGGTCAGAAGGATGAGGATTGAGACAGTACTCTGTCCATTCTCTTTTACATCTCTCTGACCACTCCTCAGGGACCTTTGCTGATTGATCATCCACACCCCACTGTAATTATGGGGGTTCCCCAAGGTTCTGTTCTCTTCTTTCTCTGTACCCTTTCTGCATGACCTCATTGGCTCCCATAATTTTAATTATCACCCCTACTTGGCGATCTCTCAGATCTCTACATCCAGCCCCAATCTCTCCTGAACTCCTGCCTCACTGACTGCCTACTGAACGTCTCCAACTGAATATCTCAGAGGCATCTCCAAATCATTATGTCAAAGACAGAACGTTCTTTTTGAAGTAAAAATTCCCCTCTATTTTATACCGGTTGCTTTTTAAAAATATATAATAAATTCACCATGTGACTTTCAAAGCAGCCCTGTTTTGCCTGTGTTTCTTTCTGAACTTCCTTTGGTTCTCTTTTATGCATCTTAAAAATGCTCTCATGCTGGGCAGTTAGGTGGCACGGTGGATAGAGCACCAGCCCTGGAGTCAGGAGGACCTGACTTCAAATCTGGCCTCAGATACGTAACACTAGCTGTGTGACTCTGGGCCAGTCACTTAACCCCAATTGCCTCACCAAAAAAAAAAAAATGCTCTCATGACCCTCTTTTCTTCCTTTTCTTTTTCTTCCATTTTGGCAGCCCTATCACTAGTTTCCTCCTTCCTTGAATTAAAAAAAGAATCATAACAAATAAGCAGAATCAAGCAAAACAAATCCATAAATTTGTCATGCCTAGAATGGATGTCCAATTCCAAACCTTTTGCTTGTTACCCCTAAGACAGAGCTCTTACCTTCCCCCCCAAAAAAAAACCCTTCTCTTATTCCGTACTTCCCTATCTGCTAGTATCACCACCAGGTTTGCCACCTCTGGGTCATCCTTGACATTTTCCTCTCTCTTTCTCCCCTCTCAGATCCAGTCAGTTGCTAATCTTTCACCTGGACACCATTTCTGCCTCGCCAAATGACCATCAGACACTTAATAATGGATGTTCCTTAGAAGTCTCAGATCCACATGGCCAAAACAGAATTCATTGCCTCCTCTGCCCCACCTCGGGGATCCAGGCGAACTGGCTGGCCTCTGGTCATCACACATGCCCCTGTTCCTGAAATGCCCTCCATCCTAATGTCCAGAGTCCCCACTGTAAATGGCACTATGTACATGGAGCCCTTCACAATGGTTGATGCCTTCTTTCCCAGACCCCATCATGTGTATTTGTATTTATTTTTTATGTTGATTCCTATATCCATATTAAATATGGACATGTGATTTCTCCCATAAAAGGTAATCTCCTTGAAGGATGCCATGCTTTTGACTTTGTCTTTGCCTCAGATGGTCAAGGCTACTACAGGGACAGAGAACTTCCAAGGGTCCTGATCAAACATGGCATAACAGGGCACCCTATGCTCTGCCCTCCAAAGCTGTTGGCTACTGACCACTGCTGGGGAATTCCTGGAGTTGCAAAATGAAATCCAGTTAAATCCGGACTTCGGGGGGGGGGGGCCGGTGCTGAGAGGAGGGTTGCTCTCTGGTGCAAAGAGCTCTGTGAAAGCCCAGAGTGCCACAGGCAGCATTCTTCTAAATGAGATCCCCATCTCTCAGGAAGGACAGGATCAGGAGTGTGGCAGGCCAGCGTGGCTGAGGAAGCCAGTGGCCCCATGCTCTGACCGTATCTTATCTTTAAATGTTTCCATGTCACCATGATCTTTGCAGCCCCTCCAATGGCACAGCTTGTAACACCTCTGGGCTTTTCCATGCCAGGCAATGCCTGCAACCTCAGTGCACTTCACTACCTTCTCAAATAGCTAAAATCATCTTCCCTTAGATTTCTTAAACTGAGACACTCCCCCCCCCCATTCATTTTAGGATTGCCCAGAGGTTTATTGCATTGTCATTATCCTACACTTTGTAACTTTGGCCACAGTGACATCTTCCAAAACCCCATTCATTTCGAGTCCACCTTTCAGGACCTCCTTGTGGCCTCACCAATGCAGAGCAATGAACAGGAGAGACACTCACCAAATTAAACTGGTTTTAGAATACAGTAAATATAATATGATGTGAATTCATTTCTAACTTTTTTATTTATTTATTTTAGGCAATTGGGGTTAAGTGACTTGCACAGGGTCACACGGCTAGTGTCAAAGCTTGGTCTGAGGCTGGATTTGAACTCAGGTCCTTCTGACTTCAGGGCCAGTGCTCCATCCACTGCTCCACCTAGCTGCCCCTGTAAACATATTTCTGAAAAGGCAAAAAGTGGGTCTTTTCATTTCCTAGGTATTCAGAAACCACAGGCTTTTCAGAGCCTCAATACAATTAATAAACTTAGTTCTTGCCCCACCTTATAGTAGGTGAAATTTCCTCCAACCTAATTTGTGCTTTTTAAGGATCCAGAAAAAAAAAGAGACATGTTTTACTGGGCTTGACTTTAAAAAAAAAAAGAAAAGAAAAGAAAAGAAAAATTTTCTTCTCTGTTAGTGCGCCTTCCTAGGCTTCCAGATCTGTTGCTTCAGCACAGGCAGCAGTGGCCTGTCGCGCGCTGCCGGGGGTTTTTAATCGCCTTGCTCATTTTTTCCCTTCTGTTCCTTTCCTAGATTTATGGACAATCTGCAAACAGAGGTTCTGGAAATTGAATTTCTTTCCTATTCCAACGGCATGAACACCATCAGTGAGGAAGACTTCGCCCGCATTCTGTTGCGATATACAAATGTGGAAAACACAACCGTGTTTTTGGATAATGTGCGCTACAATATGATAGAAGAAAAGGTATTTTTTATCATCCTTGATTCTCTTGTTAGCAATAAGCCACACCTCCGTCTGCCTCTGATTCTGTAAATTGCCTTGGCAGCCAGGCACACGACACACCGGCGCACACAGAGCATGCCCGTACATACACACACAGCCATGCACACGCGCTCACTTAAGGTCTATAAGCATACTTCTTGTTTAACCTTTGTCTTAAAATGCTTTGGGGGAGGGGAGAATGTTGTGAAACCCCATAATGGAAATATGTAGGAAGGTTCTCAGTCCCCCTAGTTAGGTGCGAGATAGAACAGCGTCGTAAGGCAGCAGGGATTTTGGCGCGCCGAGCAGCCTCTCTCTTCAAAGAGCTCCGCCGCGCCCGGCGGGGGCCCAATGGCGCTTCTCCCAAACCAGAGTCTGCAGGCTTCTGTCTCTCCAGGCCCACTTCATTCATCTCCAGAAAAGTCGTCATTAAAGGGTCATTTCGTGGTGAGGCACTGATGACTGAGGCGTCTTATCCCGGTTGAAAGGAGCTTTTCACAAGGGGGGCTGCGGCGGAGGGAAACCAGACTGCGGTTTGTCCCTTTCTTCAAGTAACAAACGAGACCGGGTCAGAAGTTTCAGAGCAAAGAGACCCTGAAGGGGCCTTGAAGGCTCAGTGCTGCCCACCAGGAGGGGGCGGCCAGCGCCACCTTCGAGGGGAATGGGTGGGGGCTGCCCTTCTGATTATGTCTGGGCAAGGATCTGGTGACGCGGCCCTGGGGCCCTGGGAAGCTCCTGCCAGCCTTCTCTGTCCAGCGGCTTCATGGAGAGAAGGGCGTGGGACCTTGCCCAGTCCGTCCTCGAGGTCACCCGACTTTCTCCCGGTGGAAGACTAGAAAATGTGCATGGTGCAGGGGGCTCCTTGGGGTGAGCTGCTTCGATTCACCAGATTAACTTGGCCAAGCCCCCTGCATCGTGCTGTGCTGGGGTTCAAATTGATCGTTGTTTTTTAGTGGCACCTAGACTCCAAAAAGCTTAACTGGAGCAAGTAGTCGATTCACCTTCGGACACCACATCACTTTCTCGTAAAGAATCTTCCTGTTAAATTTAGTATGAAAACCAAAGGACTCGGGTAATTGGGTTTTAAATCCTTGGCCTCTGCTCTTTCAGCGTCCTCTTTGTGGGCATTCGCACTGCAGGCACAGACACTGGGCCAGGGAAGCCGGAGGCATGTGGAGGTGGTGTCCTAAGAGAGGATTCCTTCCTTTGTTTCCATCGGGGCTTTGCCGAATGCTTTTGATCATCATTTTGGGTCTGCAGGAGTGTGCTGATCAGTGATTAGCAACCAGCTCTCTGAAAGAAAACAAGAACGTGTGCAGGACACACTTTTAAATTTAATTGGCATTATTAGCCTCTTCTCCGCCATTTTCTTAGTCCAGACAATCCAGAAGCCAATAAATGAAGCCCTGATTGGTGGCGTTTTTGCTGCCACTGAACACCGCCCCATCAGGTCTCTGCAGCCTGTTGCGATAGCTCTGGACCATTCTGCAGGGAGCCCCTCTGTGTCTCTGGCAGTGATGGGTGTGGTGAGAAATCGAATGTGCTCACTGGCACCAGGGCCCGTCGCTCTGGGCAGATGAAGCTCCGAAGCAGCTTTCAGCTGGGCTTCTTATCGTGGCACACTTACTGCCGGCTCTCTTGGGGCAGCAGAGCCTGAGAGACCCTCAGGGGTCTAAGAACATGTGAAGAAATGACTCCTTACCAGAGGCAAGAGCTGACCTGCCTCAGGTTCCCACAGTCCCTCAGGGGAGGAGCAATGGTTTGGGCTTGAAGGTGAGAGTTTCAGCATTCTTGACCCATTGTGCCAGGGTCTTGGAGCCCCTGTGACTGGCAACCACACAACTTGGAGATCTTGCTGGCTCTCTCAGTCCTCTTTGCACTTTTGGAGACAGCAGCCCACGAGTCTGGGCTGTGTCTGGTTTGGAGCCTGCCTCTGGGGCTGGGGTGATGGCAGGCCCAGTCCTCATCAGGCTTTTGGCTACATCTTAGGCTTTCCTATGCTCCAGAGCAATCTGTCTTTCTGATATTGGCAACACCATTTAAACTCACTTCTACCCAGCGCCTCACCTTCCTCTGACTTTTCCATTTCCTCATCTTTCCATATTTCAGCATTCCATGTAACACAAACCCAAAAAGGATAGGAAGGTAGAGCCAGACAGGCAGGGAAGTGAGGTCAGCCATTGCAAACCTTCCATGGTGCCCTGGTTCCCACGATGATGGGCCCTGGAGTGCCACACGCCTTACAAGTTCTATGACCGCATATACATTATGGGGGAATCACACTTTTCAGTTCACGTCACTTGGCCTTTTCCTCTCAGTTTCTCCCACTTTGGAGGGAGCTGATTTAGACAGGAATAAGGTGTTCAGAGGAAAGGAAGGTTGAGGTTGAAGAGCTGTGGTGGGCATGCTGAGTTTGAGATGCCTGTGGGACATCTCTTGGGTATTTTAGATGTTCAATGAATTAGACAAATGCCGGGTTTTAATTCTGCTTTATCATTGACTTGTGACATAAAGCTCTGTCTACAGGCAAATTTTCCAATGAATCTTAAGAAATCATCTTACTTGATGCCTTCTTAACAGGCAACACATTTGCTTTCAAAGTTAAATATGAACACCGATGGCACATATTTTAAATTGTCAGTAATCATTATATTTTCATCGAATCATTTTGGTTGCACCATTCGTAAAACAGCTTTGCTGGTTTCAGTCAAATGTTCTGAAAACATTTCCATCCACTACGGGCTAATGGAAATATGTGGAAAGAGCTTCCCATTCCATTTTGAGTAAGAAGGTGCAAATATTTCAACGTGTTCTGCCTTAAAAATGTCTGTCTTTGACGCCCATGATGCAGGAAAGCTGGCAAGGCCATGTGTAGACCTGTCCCTGCTGCCAGGGCTGGTGCACCAACAGGAGCCAGGAATAAGACTGCCAGGTGACACCTGCCATTGCCCTTGCAGCAACGCGGTCAGTAACCAGCATTCATTTTAACAGGGCATCACATTCGACGAATTCCGGTCCTTCTTCCAGTTTCTGAACAACTTGGAGGATTTCGCCATTGCCCTGAACATGTACAACTTTGCAAGTCGCTCTATAGGGCAAGGTAAGTGCTTGTCTTTTCGAGTAAAACCACTTTAGAAAGTATTGAAACCCAGCAGAAAGAGCACAGGTTTTTATATTGTAAAGGCAAATCATGTCCTCACTTTCACACTTTGGTGAAGTGGGAGCCACCAGAAAGAGCCTTGGGGGGCGGGGGAGAGAGAGGAGAGGGGGGGAATTCAGGGGCTGGGGATGGAGAGGGCAGTGGTGCAGGCGAGCTGTGGGTGGGGGGCCGAGGGGAGCTCGGCAAAGGCCCCCTCCATCGGAGTTCCCCAGGTAAGCCCGGTGTTCTGGAATGCCTGCCTGTCTCTTTGAAGTTTACAACAAGCCGCCTCTTCTGAAACTGAAAGTTTCTGGAACCTAACATACAGCGAGTGAGGGCATCTTCCTCGATTAAGAGGAAACACACTGCAGGGGCCAGGGCCTTTTTCTGCCTGTCTTCACCATCCTCCTCCTTCATCGATGTTTTTAAAAAGTGTCACTGATCCTTGCTGTTCTCCCAAATGTAGCCTCGAGGGGGTGGGGAGACACTGCAGGAAGCCTTGTCATGTACCTGCGTTTTTTGCTTTTGTTTTTTTGTTTTTGTTTTTAAACAATTGAGCAGAAGCATCTGACAGGCACTTTGCCTGACCGTGGCTGCCTCACATGCAGTATTCCACCCTGATAGGCACCCACCTCTCAGCAACAGGAGGGAGCTACTCGCTCATCATCCCTTCTCTTTGGCCAGCTCAGTCCAGTCATCAGTTTCCATGGTTGATGTCTGGGTGTTTTGATGGCGTGGTGCTGCTGCCTTGACGCTCTGTATCTATTCACAGAATTCCTCATGTTTGTCATTTCCTCCAGTTCCTTGGGCTGTTGTTACTTCCAGGCACGCTCTTCTTAGCCATTCGCCAATGGAAGGGCACCCACTTTGTTTCCAGATCTTTGCTGCCACAGAAAAGTACTGTTTTAACATATGGGGGGGGCAGCAGCACTGGAGAGGGAGGCTTCTCTTCCTTTCTCTGACCACAGTGGGGAGATGCCCAGCCGTGGAACCTCTCGTTCTCCATGCTCCTCACCCCCCAGGCCTTCTTCCCGGAATAGCCCCGCCCCCATCAAATTATCTGAGCAAAAAGGGTAAATTATCTGGTCCAACCTCCAGATGAGGAAACTGAGTCCCAAGACTTGGTCAAGATCTCACATTATTTGGTGGCAGTTAATTAGTGGCAGAGCCAGGATCAATATTAGTAGTGAACATTGATACAGTGCCAGCAGGTTCACAAAGTTATACATACATACATGATATATATATATATATATATACATATACATATAGATGTACATATATACAGATGGATAGATGGATAGATAGGTGATAGATAGGTAGATGGATGAATAGATAGATAGATGGATAGATAGATAGATAGATAGATAGATAGATAGATAGATAGATAGATGAATGGATGGATGGATGGATGGATGATGAATAGATAGATAGATAGATAGATAGATAGATAGATAGATAGATAGATAGATAGATAGATGGAGGGATAGACAGACATTATCTCAGGTCTTCCAGCTCCATATCTGGTGCTGTTATACCACTCATATCCATCCATCCTTCCATATGCAGCTCAGCTCTCTCCTCTATGAAGCCTTCCTTGATTTTCCCCAACCAAAAGTGATCTCTCCTTCCCTCCTCTGAATTCCTAAAGCCTTTTGTGTGAGCTGCTCCTATGGCACTGAAAGTGCCTTTTGTTATAATTACTTGAGTCAATCAATAAATATTAAGTGCCTACTATGAGCCAAGCAAAGAAAGGCAAAACCCTCAAGGAGCTCATGGTGGACTAGGGAAGACAAACAAGCACGTGTCCTGCCAGGACTAGCCCCTGTTCTCCCCCAGCCTTGGCCCCATGGGGTACTTGAAGGCAAGGACAGTGTCCTATTGATACAATCAAGTGAAATCATGTTTGTAAAGTCTTAACACAGTGCCCAGCACATGGTAGGAGCTGCATAAATGTTAGGTATTTCTATTATAATGCTTCACATCCGTATCTCCCGTATCACCTGGTGTCATAGGAAGAATACTGCTTCTAGAGGCATAAGATCCGCCTCTGATGTTTACTCTGGGTGACACTAGGCAAGTGACCGGACCTCCCCACACCTCCATTTCTTCAGTTTGAATGGGTACAAGGATATGCACAGGCCCTGTCTCCCAGGGGACTCCAAGGCTCTTTGCCACCTTGCTACCTCTGGATGTGAGGTCCCTTCTGAAGCTGCAGGCCGCCAGGGGCCTCCAGCACCTTTGGTCTTGCCCAGCCCAGCCTGCAGGTGCCCAGGTGGTGGACACATGTACACACACCCCAAGAAGGGTGGCTGAGGGCCACCTGAGGGGGCCAGAAGGGGCATTGGCAGTTGTGGCCCTAAATGAAGAGTGGGTAGAGTCTGCCTGAGGAGGAGAGGGTGGAGGGGGCAGCTGTCCCCCATCTCAGGTGGGATGACTTTGCTCTTGTTCCCGCCCTTTACCCAGATGAATTCAAGCGTGCCGTCTACGTGGCCACGGGCCTGAAGCTCTCGCCCCATCTGGTGAACACCATCTTCAAGATCTTTGATGTGGACAAAGATGATCAGCTGAGTTACAAAGAATTTATCGGCATCATGAAAGATCGGCTGCAAAGAGGATTCCGGGTAAGGAGAGAGCCCCTTCAGGGAAGATCGGGAACCTTTGCCACCCACCTGAGAAGTCCTAGATCGAGTGGATTTAGCTGTGGGACACAGAAGGCCTTCTTGGCAAAGGCCAGGTTTGTGTTGCAATCTGCAAAGATGCTCTGAGAGATTCATGTGAAGACACAGAGCCCAATAGGTCAGGGGGCCCCAGAAATGAGCACGAGTCAGATTGGCAGCTTTGGTCCAAAAGCCTCCAGCAAAACGTGCTTCTGCTGCTATAGAAGGCTGCTCCCCTTCTCTGTATCCCTGTTGGATAATTCCCATCCCATGGCCTGAGAGAGGCTGCCCCTGTCATGGGCCTGTGGACAAGGAGTATCCCCTCCCCCCACTTCCTTCTGTCTTTCTCTCCTTTTTCTCTCCTTCTCCCCCTCTCTCCTTCCATTTTTCTCTCCCTATCTCTCTCTCCCTCCTCTCTCTTCCACCTTTTTCTCTCCCTCTCTCTGTCTCCCTGTCTTTTCCTCTCCCCCTTCTCCTTTCCCCCTTCTCCTTTCCTCCTTTATCTCTGTGTCACTCTGCCTTTTTTCTCTCCCTCTCCTTCCATTTTCCTCTCCCTGAATCTTCCTCTGTCTCTCCTTCCCCTCTCTAACCTTTTTTCTCTCCCTCTCTGTCTCTGTCTTTCCTCCCCCTCCCTGGGAAGTGGGTCTCAGAGGTGGCTTTGGAGCAGGAGTTGGGGAGCAGACGCCCTACAAATAGACACCTTTCTGGGGGCATCCCAGGAGGGAGGAAAGGACAGAGTCAGTGCTTTATAAAGTAACCAAGAAACAGTTTTTCTTGGCAAACTAGACTCGTCCGTTGACAGAAGCAAGAATCAGAAGCGGCCCCATGACAGTGGCTGTGGCATTTCTCTGGCCAGGCACTTGATGTGCACGCTCAGTGGTGGGGGAGGAGTATGAGCTCTAACGCCAAGGATTTCTCAGGCAGAGCCTCTGCCCCTTCACCACTGACCCTCTTTGCTTTGTCTTTTCATGCTCCGGTCCTCCCACTTCTTGCCTTGATCGTCTGCTCCGGCTCCCTTTTCCATCGCCTCTTCGCCAGGGCTACAAAACACTTCAGAGATACCCCACCTTCAAATCCTGCCTGAAGAAGGAACTCCACAGCAGATAGGTACGTTTACTTGTTGGTGTTCACGGACGGGCCGATCCACAGCGTGACAGCACCAGATGCTGCCTCCCATACGTGATGCCCATTTATTGTTCTGCCCTTTGGTCTAAGGCTGCTTCGTCCCGTTATCTCTGGGTGGTGTGGCCACGGTCCCAGCAGGGGCCATGGGCAGGCACTGGACCCAGCAGTGCCTTGGATGCCTGTTGTCTGAGGCCCACCCAGCCCAGCTGAATGCAGGGGAAGCTCGGCACTGCTGAGCTGGTCACCTCTCATCATGCCCAAGTGAAATACAAGGAAATCTCCAGAGGAAATGGGATGGCTGCCCCACCTTTGGGTTTAAAATGCTGAGATTCCACTGGCAGGACGTCTCTACAACCAAGAGATGCTGCTGCTTCCATACCTAGATGCTGGTCTGTCAGGGTGCGTCCATGGCATCATTGGCTGAGACCCAGCTAACCACGGTGCTCTGGTAAGGGCTGATCTGATTGACTGAGTATGAAACAAGGAAACTTTGTTTCTCCTCTCATTAGAAAGTCTTTCAAAGTCCCTGAGTCGTTTCCTGAAGGAGCAAAGACAGTGTAAGGCATAATGTTGATCTTTTCCTTGCATGCCATCCCTGGCACACACACTCACAAGGTCCTAGCTTGGGAGCTGGAGGGAAGGTCAGAGACCACCCAGAAGAGGGAACCAAGGCCCAGGGAGGCTCGGTGATGGGCCTACCCTCATCTGAGCAGAGGCCTGTAATAACTACTGATGCGCCTGCATTCATCCATACAGAGGCCTGTAATAAGTACTGATTGTCCTGATTTGGGGATAGCCTTCTGGACATCTCTTATCAGGGGCCTGGGCCCAAGGTGGAGCCCGGGCTTCATGAGTACTGGTGTCCAGGGTGACCCGGGTTCTGGCGCCTCGGGCCCATTCATATAAATGGACACAGGCCCAGCTCTGTATGCTTTCCGTGCCGCGTTTCTTATCTTCAGGTTGTCTAGGAAGATTTATGGGCCTATAATCCTAGAGGTTTCCAAAGCATGTTTTAATTGATGAAGGATTCTGCCCACATTTCCAGGTTGGACCCTCCCCAGCCCATAAAGGGCAGATATTATTGTCCCGATGTTACAGGGAGAAAGCTAAGGCTAAGAGGAGCTAGCTACCCAAGATCATGCCGCTAACGGGGGCATGGTCAGGATTGAACCCAGGACTAACTCAGTGCTCTTTCCACTGCCTCACTCAGCCATCCTGATCTCAGCCACTTGTTCACGATTGTTATTCAGAGATGGATCTGGCAGAAGAAACAGGAGCCCGTGTTCCTTATTTGAGGGACTCTCGCTCCTCAGGGACCCCCTTCAGCAAGCTCTCCTGGCTGGGGGGGCAGAGGCTGCAGCAGGGTCTCCTCTCTCAGTGCCCAACACCTAGCCCAGAGTCTGCCCAGAAGGAGGAAGGAGCAGCCCCAGCTCCCAACATTGCCCAAAGTCACACTCATCTGAACCTAATGAATTATTTACGCCTTCTGCTCACAGGCTGTTGGGGGCTTTCTTCCTCATTCCTGGGTAGCTGTGAAAAACTAGCTTTCCAAACACGTATCTCAAGTGTGCTTGCTTATGAGGAAGGGGACTTTGTCATTGCCCAGAAAGCACTTGGTGAGCCTTGGGTCATCCTGTGCTGTGGCCCACTGTGATTACTGCTGACAGTGGCCACGATCACCCCACAGGCCCTGGTGGACACAGGCCAGGTGTTAAAGCCCCTCTGATGTTCCACGTTGCCATCAGGAGACAGACTGGAGGGCCAGTGTTAGGTAGAAAGCACAGCCCGGCCTGAACTGGTTAGGAAGAGAGCCTCAGAAGGGGAGGGTCTGGGAGGACATGGGAGGACCCAGAGGAGGGCAGGAATCCTTGGGGACAGACCCCACGCTCTGCCCAGGAGCTGTCAGGATCAAAGGAGTGGACATGGTGCGCCATACCGAAGAGAAGGCCAGGCAGGTCGGACCAAGAGAAAGGCAGCCCCACTGGCCTTCACTTCCTGTGTGGATGAGGGCCCTCAGTGGGCTGCTCTAGCATTTACTCCTGTGGTTGTGCCAACATTCAGTGTCTTGTCTTTTTGTACCTCAGAAGGGATTGGCTCCATCCCACAGGTCAGCTGGGTGGGTTCTGAGATGTCTAGCCTAGAAAAGAGGAGCGAAGTAGGGGAGTGGAGGACAGCCTTCCTCGCATGTGAAGGGCTGCCCTGGGGAAGAGAGGCTGCCCACAGGACATGGCCAAGAACTTGAACTCTGTGTGAGAAAAATGAGGCTAAGAGGAGTCTCCAAAAGTGGATTGTGGTGGTGGATTGGTGGAGAAGGAATGACCCCTTGTTGGAGATGTTGTTGAAGGAGCTAAGGGTCATAGGGGGCATGGTGGGGAATCGTAAAGACCTGGGTTTGAATCCTGCCTCAGAAGCTTACTCACTCTGTGACCCTAGACAAGTCTTGTGAGCTCCCTCATCCTCAGGGTCTTCCTCTGTAAAATGGGGCTAATCACAGCCCCTCCCTGGGGGATCAGATGAGATGACATGGGTGGGCTACTCTATAAACCCCGAGGTGCCACCATCATTAGCACGTGGTCAAGGAAGCCCCTCACGGGGGGACTGAGGGGGCTTCTTCATTCTAATTTCACGTCCCCAGTCATGACACAAAGGCACACAAGCTGCCCTTAATGGTGCGCTTCTCAGTTTGGTCAGGTGCTCCCCAGGGGCTGCGTAGAGGATGATTGTCCTGCCTCAGGGACCCGGTCAGACTCTCCAGGGCATGCAGAAACCATTCCACAGTCAGAAGATGCCGAGATAGGAAGAGGAGAATGAAAAGCTTCAGAAACAACCTAGTCTCTTTGTCCTCAATCTGTGTCCACAGGAGCCGAGTGCAGGAGATGCCCAGCCTGCCAGCTGTGATTCACTGACTCACTCTCCATGCACTCCTTCCCATTCCCTTCTCGAGGCAACATGAAGTCTAAGGAGGATCAGCTGAGTAGTGTGGGGAAGACGCATGTCCTTCGTGTTTGTCTATTTATTTATTTACTTTGGGGCGATTTGCCCATCAAGGAAGACAACAGGTGCCTCGTGGACTAGGGGGCAAGGAAGGAAGATGCATCTGTTGGGTCTCCGGGAAGGGCGCTCACTCTTTTGGCTAGCGCGCATCCCTCGGGCCCAGCTCTCCACACACGGGGGTTGAGGTCCACATTGGTTAAGCCTCGTTCTATCCTGATACAGCCTCGTGCCTCGAGCTGTGATGCACTGTGGACTTTGAGAGAGCTGCATGAAGGGGTCTCGTTGTGGGAATCACAGGAAATCCTGTGCTGCCCCACCCCCCACTTCCCACCCATGCCTGTCTGCCTGCCATCCTAGCTCTCCAGTGAGCAGTCCCTTGCAGTGCTCAGGGCCTCTGCAGCACGCTTCTGCCCCCCGGAGGCAGCTTGTCCTCCCGTCCTGGACTGCATGAGAAGAACTCGTTTCTGGGCAGGTTAGACTTACCCTAGAATGGATACAATTTGGTTGGAAAGAATGTTTGTGCCATGCTATTTATTGGTCGTGATTTATTCTTTCTTGAAAAAGGACCACGTGTGACAGCAGGGCCTGCAGCGGGGCCTAAGAATTTATTGTTCTCAGAACCATCAGCCTTTAAAGGACAGAAGGTTAAATCTCTTTTAAGAACAATGAAAATTCGCTTTGCAAACAGAGGAAAGAGTTTGATGCTTCTTGACTGATTATTGCAAGTCTGTTCATTAATGAAATGCTCCCCGTTGATCACCATATGAAAATGCCACTGAAAGCTTTGCATGCTGTGTGACTAATTCCTGTGAGATGCCGTCTTAGCTCTGGGGTGATTAGCTCTCCAGAAAATCTGCAATGCCAGCTTTACTTTAACTGTAAGGATTTTATCAGGGCAGTCCCTTCTTCCACCAGTCCAGATGACAGTGACCTCCATGAGTTGTCCTAAAGACAAAATCATCCCTGGGGGCCAGTCCTCTGGGGCTGACCACCTTCACATGAGCCAGGCCTTTCAGTGCCAGGCCTAGTCAGTCCTGAGGCGTGTCCTGGCCTTTCCAGCAATGTAAGAGAGGATGCAACGCGAGAGGTGCCAGGCCCCCTTCCCCTGCTATAAGGCACCTGAGGGTAATGTCAGCGGAGCAGAGATGATCAAAAGATCATCTGCGGTGGATGTTTCAAGAGGGCAGCGCCGATGGCCGGCACTCTGACTCTGGCTAGCTCCCTGACCCAGAGTTTGCTGTTGTCTGCACTGGTCTAGGAAGGGGCAAACCTGAAACTTAAGGGTCACCTTCCTTTGGTTCTACTTGCACATTTAAGATACAATTTGGGGATTTGGTTCAAGGCCAAGGGAGTGAATGAAAAGCTCCTGCTATTCCACGTGAGGTAGCGCTTCTAAGTCCAGCTTAACTTAGAGTAAATTGTTCCCAGTGTTAGCTCTTGGTGGGAAATGTGATGCTGTGCTGCTCACCCAAGGTCCGAGAGAAAGCCTGGCCTTTGGGCAGTGTGGCCCATCGCAGCAGGCCTGAGCCCGCCCAGAAGGTGGGGTGCGCTAGTGAAATCAGCTATCGTTTCTTACCACAAGGAAGTAGGTGAGTGTCTGTCTGTGTGTAAGACTGCCATGTAATATACTATGTGAATGAGCAAAATCCTGCCGGAAACTTCTGCTGATGACCGTGCATCTCTGTGTGCTAGCAATACTTGCCTCTGTACCATCCTTCATGGAAAGATTGCTATCAGATCCCCATGTCAATCCCTAGCATCACGCTGGACAGAACTCCTGCGTTCTCAATGTCACATCATGAAATAAAAGTCTGAAGTGACATCTCTGCGTTGCCTCCTCTCTATGTCTCTTTAAAGATAGAAGTGAGAAAACACTGTAAAGTACTGAGGTCTTGGGGGGGGCACCCTGGGGCCAATGCCCTGGAGACGGGAGCCGAGGGTCCCTTTGTGTCCCTGTCCCCGTCTCTAGGGCCTCACTAACCTCAGCACCCGAAAGGTCGTCAGCTGGGAAGAGATGGACCGGGTGGTGCCAGTCCGTTCCATTGGTTGGCAAGCGAGCAAGCACTTCACCTAGCGATGGGGCCACCAAGTCACCACCCGACAGACACGGGGACCACCTCTTTCTCATGTCGTCTCAGCCCCTGTGAGCTATGGCTGACCACATGGAGAGTTTTGCTCTGGTGATCCACCAGCCGGTCACATTCTTTGCCACGTAGAACGGACCCTAAACAAGGTCTGCCTGGTCTTTTGCAAGACTTTGGGCTTGTGTCCACCATACTTGGCACATAGTAGGTGCTTAATAAATGATCACTGATCGATTCGCTCCGGCAGCTCCTGTGGAGCTTCTTCCCTGTGCAGAGCGTTCAAACCCACACTGAAGGAGACACACAATTCAAAGACTGACCACTGAGTGAAAGGGGGTGAGCAAGCCACCAGCACAAAGGGTCCTGATGGAAACCCTGGCATGATGGTGACATGAGAATGGCACTAGGCAACGTCCCTCCTCCCGACAGTTGGCCCGATGTTTACCAGTCTGGTCTCCATCATCACCAATGTCAAAAGCGCTTTGCTGTGCTCACCATTTTGTACACACTCTCTTACCCGCCCAGCTCAGAGAAAATTAGTCATGTTTTAGACACAGGTGGGCCTCCCACAGCTCATAGCTGGGCACTCAAATGTGACTCTTTCCTATAACAGCCTCATTTCCAAAGGACATTAAAATGGGAAAGGTGGAATATCGCTGCAAAAAACTCCACAAGATTTAGCAATGGGGAGGAAAAGGGCTATCGAAGCAGTCCAAGACTGTGCAGATCAGAAATATAATTTCACAAAGTCCTGCTCAACATCTCTTGAAGTCCTGCTCAGACTTGTAGGAGACGGGGCTTCACTGGCGTAAAGGAATGCTCCATCCACTGACATCAACCCCAACCCCTCCGGTCTGGGGTAGATGGGCTTCATGGGACGCTGGACCCAAAAAGCAGTCACTCCCAGTTAGCCGTCTGGTGGTGAACCTCCCTCCACATGTATGGAGTCCACACTTGAGTCTTTCCAACATGGGAGGGCCTGCCTGGGCTTCTGTCCAGCCTCCAGGAGGCCAGGCTTGTACAGACCATTGTCCAGGGATGCAGCAGGCCTTCATCTGACAGTCAGACACACTGCCCCCACAATGAGCCTGACCTGCACAGTGCCGGGATCTGGCCTTTTCCTCCTTATCCCAATTCTCTCTGGTCACATGTACCCACTCAGCTGCCTCCTCTTCAGGTCCAACCTGAACCCCGGGAAGAATTCCCCCAGTTGGAGAGACAGAGGCACATGTGAGGAGGCTTCAGGCAAAGGAAGGTTGCTGCAGAATCAGGGATCGCAGGGCTCCTGCCCAGCCTTTCTGCTCTCAGGTTGGCTGGCTCCAAGACAAGTAAGGTCTCCCAGTTCTCACTGACCTGCCTTGTCTACCATAAACAGATAAGCTTGACCTCCGAGCCTGGGGGACTTATGGACTGCCCGCGCCAGGCTGTATGTAGATACCTGGCTCTTGTAGCGTCATGGCTCACGGCCGCAGCACCTTCCTGCTCACACACGCACGCTCACACACACACACACACACACACACACACACACACACACACACACACACCTATTCCCAGCTCTGCGGCTATTGCTCAACCCTTTCCTCATCTAGCAAACTCACACCTGGTGCAGTCATTTCCAGTTTTTGAATCTATGACCTTCTATGCTGGCTAATGTCTAGCAGGAGTCACTCAACAAACATTTATTAAGCGCCTACTTACATGCAAAAGACTACACTGAGCACAGGGGATAGAGAGGAAGAAAGACAACAGCATGATCCTGGCCCTAAAGGGTCGAACAGAGAAGATGAGCCAACACTTGTGTGCATACACACATCAGAAGATGGGGAGGGAAGTCTAGGCTCAGTCATTCACTAGCCATGCATGTGCCCTTCCACAAGCCAGAGGGCCACTAGGAGCCTCAGCTTCATCCTCTGGGAAACGGCTATAATAATCCTTGTCCCAATTGTGATTTAGGGATGCCTTGTGGAGCAAAGCTTGGGAAAGTGAGTGCAAGGTGTCACTTCTGTTATTTAATCATTCAGTTGCATACAAATAGAATGCAATGCCTTGGGGAATGACTTTCTAGACAGCAGTGCACCCTGAAAGCATCAGTCTTTGTGAATTGGTCTTCCCTGCAGGGAGCTCGGAGCAGTTCTGAAGTATCTGCTGTGGGCAGGGCCCTGGGTGCAGAGACCAAGGTCCCCTAGCCCTGCGCTCACGCCCCTGGCACTCTGCCGTATTCACCTGCGCACAGGGCACTTCAGGCAGGAGATGGCGTCTGCCAGGAGCCTCATCCCGAGGCAAGAACTGTAGGTGAGAGCAGGGAGAAGATGCATCAGTCAGCACGTGTTGCCTTCTTGTTCTATTTCACCAGCAGGAATGATTTCTATCACACCATTCAGAACTTTTAGCTCCAATAATTGCCTTGCAGAATGCCTCGGACACTTGCATAGGATATTGTTGGCCAGCACGATTGACAATATGGACAGTACTGTAAGCAAACTTAAATATGGGGACAAAGTGTGGCCTCGGGCATCCGAACAAGGCCGTAGCCAAGGGAAGGCAAGGACAGTCGTGGAGGCCTGAGGTGGAGAGCCCCATCCTGGCAGCCCCAGCACTTGGTGCTTTGAGCGGCCCCCTCAGCACAGCTTTGGTGACGTGGAGTGGGCCAGCACTGTCATTCCTACAAGAATACAGGACTAACCACCATTTTAGTCTCTTCTCAAAAAAAAAAAATAACGTTTTTCAACTCAGTATTTAGAAAGCTCATTTCCATGGAAACACGTTTCTGATGTTGCAAAGGGAATGAAGGAGAAAATGAAGTTCTCTTTATACACCCAGGCGAGCTACAGTAGCCAGCCACAAGGGCGTGGCAGTCCCACTAAATTCCATGTCAGAAAACCTGGTTTGGAAACCCCCCTGACCCTGTAGACAAGTAACCTTTCCTTTCTGGGGCTCAGTTTCCTTCTCAGTACAGCGGGGACTTCTATGGTCTCTTCCAGCCCTCAGCTCTGTGCTCTGTAATGATCCCGTCCCAGAAGCTGGAGACCACTCATAATGGCTATCACAGGTGACCGCCAGGGGAGGGTGTAAGGGCATGGCCATTAGCATAGCGACTCCCACTGCAGAGCTTTGAAAGAAGGGGACGAGGCCAGGGCATTCCAGGTAGGGAAATGATGAGCATCGAGTTCGGTTCTCAGGCCCTTTGAGCTTCATAAAGTTCTTTTATACAAAATTATCTGGTGATGATCCTTGCCACCCTCCAGGGGAGGAGCCACTGTTATGAATCTGCATTTTGCAAAAGTAACGGAAGCAGGGGCAGCTAGGTCAGAAGTCAGGAGGACCTGAGTTCAAATCCAGCCTCAGACCCAAACACTTGACACTTAATAGCTGTGTGACCCTGGGCAAGTCACTTAACCCTGGGCAAGTCACCAATTGCCAATAAATAAGTAAATAAATAAATAAATAAATAAATAAATAAATAAATGAATGAACGAATGAATAAATGAATGAATGAATGAATGAATGAATAAGTGAATGAATGAATGAAATGAATAAGCAAATAAATAAATAAATGAATGAATGGATGAATGAATAAATAAGTAAATAAATAAATGAATGAATGAATGAATAAGTAAATAAATAAATGCATGAATGAATAAATGAATAAATGAATGAATAAATGAATGAATGAATGAATGAATGAATGAATGAATAGATAAATTTAAAAAAATAAATAAATAAATAAGTAAGTAAGTAGGTAGGTAAGTAAGTAAGTAAGTAAGTAAATAACCGAAGCAGAACATCAGATGCTTGTGATTAAAAAAAAAATCTCACTTGGAAGGTCGAAGGAACATTTCCAAAAACATGGAACACAGAGGGTGCGAGTCAGGGTGTCAGAGTGGATGGCGAGCCAGCCTTGAAACCAAGCAGACCTGAGTTCAAGTCCTGCCTTGACAAATACAGGCTGTGACACTGGGCAAACCCCTTAGCCTTGCTCTAAGGCTCCTCGTTGCAGAGAAGGTGCCAATCTGCATTGGCGGAAAGAGCTTCCTCTCCTAGGAGGGGACGGCACAGGTGTCGTGCTCATTCTCTTTGTCAGAGAGGGTAAATGGAGGCAGTGCAGTGTCTGAATTGGGAATCGGGATCCCCGTTTGGCTCCTCGCTATTTGCGCACGTCGCTTCATGGCTCCCAGAGTGGGCTGTCATCTCCCAAAAGAGAGGGTGGCCTGTGGGGGCCCGTGACACGCTAAAGCTTGTGCTCCTCTGCCCACTAAATGCATAGAGTTATAATAATGAGAATAATAACTAGAGTTTAAGGTTTGCAAACAGTACCTCCTTTTACTTTTGCAACCCTGTGAGGTCGGCAATGTTATCATGATCCCCATTTTACAGTTGAGGAAACTGAGGCAGACAGAGGCAAAGTGACCTAACCTAACCCTAACCCTAATCTGCCCAGGATCCCCTTCTCTAGGAAGTGCCTAAGGTTGAATTTGAACTCAAGGCTCGAGGACTCCAGGCTCAGCGCTCTGTGCATGTAGCGCCCCTAGCGGCCTCTGCCGAGGTCTTCCTGCCTTTGTTCTCCCTCCATCCTACACATCCTCTGTTGCACTGCCCGGCTCACCTTCTTTGGGCCGGGATCTGCACAAGCTACTCCTCTCCTCTAACAGTGACGCTGTGCTTCCGCCATGTAACGTGCAGATAACTCCGCCTGGCCGCCATGGCTGACGCCAGGCTAGTGGTCCCCATCCGTCCAGGCT